CAGGCAGAAAAAATGCCCCAAGTTGCGGTACATACAACTTTCAGCTTCCGGAAGGGGCTCCTCTCCAAAGCTTTTTATCTGCATGCGCGGGACAAGTGGGAAAACCTGGTGTCGAGCTGCTCATGGCTGGACAGTCAGGGCGGACAGCCTGGAAGCGAAGACCAGGCTGCCATGAACCACTTTGTGACTTTGTTCACGCAGCACACAGGATCCCACAGGACGAAGCCCCCAAGAGCTGGTCTGTATAAAGCAAAGCTGGAGGAACGCCGCAGCCGACGCCCATCTCTCCGCTCGGATCGCCGAGGATGGGCAGCGGAGTGTGGGACATGTAAGGCATACAATGTGGCATCTCGGACGGCGCGACTGCCTTCAACGCCAGACATCCAACTCTAGACTTTATCTTAGTACTTGGCAAAGCAGCCACGCCATCTCAAATTCTCGATGCAGGGCGCAGGGCATACAATGCGAGTGTACCCCTGAGAAGGTGGATCTGCTATACCTCAGCGACAGCACATCCTGCGCTGAAACCCCCTATAGTTGAAAACATCACGCACTATCTGCCAACAGACTTCTGCCACTGAGGGCTTCAACGCCAACTAGACAAACTAGACAAAGACAACGCACGAGTGCGAGTGCGTCGAGATTAAACAAAACTTTGTTGCCCCCCTGAGCGAGGACGAGCCTGTACAGAGCCATAGCAAACGGGCAGTCTGGAGGCGCGGGCTTGAAAAGTACCCAGCCTGCAACGAGACGCGTTGCCGGCAAGATCTATATCGCCATCGGCAGCGGATGCTCAGGCTTAGAAGTGCTCCTTGAAGAAGGAGAAGCGGGTGCCACCGGGCGTGCCAATGAGGTCGGAATTCTTGATGCTCTGCCGGGACAGTTCCTCGCCAATGATCGGAGAACCGCAGAGGAAGACGCCGATGTGCTCGCCCTGATGCTTCTCGCGATTCTGCTTGAAGATCCGTCCCCAGTTGGGTCGTCCAAAGAACTGCCCGGACGCGCAAGGGAGCTTCTTCACCTGGCCCAGCTCGATCTCACCGGTGAGGAAGAGAGTGATGTCGACGATGCCGGCGGCGGGACCATCGGCAGCGGCCGCCAGGAGGTCGCAAAACCAGTCGAACTCCTCTTGGCCACGGCAGATCCAGTAGAAGTAGATCTTCTTTGGCACAACCACGAGATCTTCCACGAGCCTCTGGAGACCTGCCCTTGGATCGTCCTGGCCCTGGTTGCCCATGGCGCTCCGCCAAGAAGATGGCCTGGCAGCGGTCATGATCGTCTCTCTCTGCTTGGAGCGGAGCTGCACGGACCGCAAGATGGAAGCAAAGGGTGTGACACCAATGCCTGCGCCCACCACCATCAGGGTGTCGAAACCCCAAACCTTCTGTGCCGGCGCGCCGAAAGGCCCCGTGACCTGCAACACCACAGACTCCTGAGGAAGGCTACCGCTTGGCGGGCTGCTCACCAGCGTCTCGCCTGAGCGAGCTACCGCTGGGCCCATCTTGTCCGAGGTGTTTCGCCCGAGCAGGCGAGGACCTTCGTCCTCTTTGACAGGGAGCTCCTTGCCCTCCTTGCCGGCGACTTTGGGCACATTGTAGACGATGTGGCTGTTGGGCAAGGTGCACTTGTTGTACTCGATCAGAAGCGGCGCCCTTGGTGGCTTTTCTGCTTTCGCCTCCCCTCGGGCCTGGGCCGGCGCTTCCTCAGTAAGGCGCTTGCGAAGGGCGGAGCACCAGTCGAGAGTGTTGGGCGAGCGAATGTGGACGCTGATGCAATTCTCCTCCGGCGCTGATGTCAAAGTGAAAGGATGCCACTCACCCTTCCATCCCAGCAGGATGTACTGACCGGCCTGGTATGCGAAGCCTTGGGGAACCTCAAAGGTCAGGCCGATCACATCTCGTGGCAGCAGCTTCACGCTCCGCAGCGTCAGGTACATGGCCTGGTGGTTCGCAAGCAAGAGACGGTCCACGAGCACGAAGAGGGCCGGAAAGAAGAACCAGATCCAAAGGCGAGCAGGCGCATGCAAGAGCAGCAGGACGTAGATCAGCTTCCAGGACATGTGGACACGCCAAAACAGATTGTATCCGAAGCAGCGGCGAGTGAGGCAGTTCGTGCCGCGCCGCGAGCAGGATAGTGCCGTCAGCAGGATGGCGAGCATCATGAAGGTGAGGATCACACCAGTGAGCGCGGCGCAGCGGATTTGGATGTTCAGGAGTTGCTGCAGCAAGGTCATGCCACTGGCTTGCTCCTCGGCTGTGAGCTTCCAGAGATGCAAAGGGTCCAGCTGCATGACGGGAGAAGTCTTGATGAGCCACATGTGGAAGCAGTGACCGGCAATGTGGATAGCGGCACTGAGCATTGTGAAGCTGGCGATCACGATGTGGAAGTTGATGGGGTCGTCAATCGGCACCCACTCGCGCGAAGAGCTCACGCGCCTCATGGTCGTCTGCAAGCTTTTCAGCGTGGGCAGGACAAGCATGGAGAAGTTCAGGTCCATGCTGTAGCCACCCCCTTTGGCAATGGGATAGGCCCAAGACTCGTGGAAGCCCCCCTTCATGTTCGAGAGAAAGCCAATGAGGAAGACTAGGATATTCAGCACTGCATACATGAGCGTGGTGAGCTGCTGCTCGCCGATGCCACACCTGCGGAAGCAGCGCTTGAAGCTCTGAAACCACGTCATGGACTCTTCGGGCAAAGCCACTTCGGCTGTCTGCCCCTCGGCCCCCTCCTCATCGACCGCGTGGGCGTTGGCCTTCTTGGCCCACTCCTTCCTCTGCTGGGCGACAATCTGGCGCCGTGCCTCTACGAGCCGTGCCATGCGATCCTTGCCTATCACCCAGTTCAACACCCGAGGGCGGTAGCGCCGGGAGAAAAGCCAGCTGCCCGGCTTCCTCACAGCATGAACAGCACAGGCAACGTAGATGATGAGGACGAGTCCGCAGAAGGCAGCCACACCCAAGGCGATGTTCTCGTAAAGCTCCAGGATGACTCCCGTCACTTTGATGCTTGCCTTGTGCGACCGGTTGGTGAAATCGTTGTTCCGAGTGCTGGCGATGTGATGGGTGCCGATCGTCTTCATTTCCACAAGGCCACCATCGAAGTAGGCCGACGCGCCGTTGAGCTGCTTGCAGTTCGTCTCGGAGTTCTGGTTGTTCGTCTCCGGATCACAGGTGACGATCTCGTCCTGGTTCAGGAATGCGAACTTGTCCACGAGCTTCCTGCCCTCCTCGTCGCCTGGGTTCGCGGCGGCGTCGAAGAGCAGTGTGTGCTTCTCGAGTGGCAGGGGGATCGTTTCTGAGCGCGACTGCACCTGCACCAAGTTGGAGCGGTCTGTTCCAGCTCGGCCGTTGCCTGCGTTTCCGTTGTTGTTGGCATCCGATCCTGTCCACTGGAAGTGCAGAAGGGTCCCCTGCTCGACCTCCAGCTCGGGAGGCACGAAGTCGTACTCCACCGAGGGGTAGACCTGCACGATGTTTCCACGGCGGCCACGAACATTGTAGTTCACAATTCTAGCAGACATGGGCACGTCTGCGGGCCTCTCCATGACCATGAACGTGTGCGTGCGATCTTCGAACGTCCGGCCAAACTGGTTCGTGTTCACCTGAATCTGCAGCAAGCGGCTCAGATCTGCCCCCGTCTCCCCAAGCCCAAGCCAATCTGCAACCGGATCTTGCGCCAGAGGCAGAGGTACCGCTGGTCGGCCTTGGAATGTCGTGCGGCGGCGGTTGCCTGGGTTCGGGTCGTTGAACTTGCTGTCCATGAAGAACTCGTCAGCTTTGATGCCAGTCAGTTCGGCGCCTTCCTCCTTTGGGTTCGCCAGAGATCCCAGGCCAAAATCTCCGGTGCTGATGTTGTAGCGGATTCGCAACACAACTCGCCCCTTCACATACTCGGGGATCTTCCACACATAGTAATGAGAATGTCCGTTGCGAACATTGCCGTTGTGGTTGTCGCGGCTGGAGATACTTCCGACACACTCGGGGGGTGGTTCGTCCCAGGCCGGCTCCTCCGTCCACTCTCCACCATTGCCAGTGCAGGAGTCGGGCTGGTTGTACAGCGGGTCGGAGCAAAGACCCTTTGGCATCACGTTCTGGGACTCGGTTCTGTAGTACTCGCAACGGCTCTGCGGCTCGTCGGTCAAAATGGCAATGTCGTGCCACGGAGTCGGGTGCCAGTAGGGGTAGTAGTCCCTCTCCTCAGGACACTCCAGTCCATGCCGGGTGTTTCCACGACGCCTTCCGTTTCCGTTTGGGTTCTGGCGCGTGGAGGTCGCCCCACCATTCTCTTCGATCTGCTGATCTGCCGTGTAGAGGCCCTTGTTCCGTTCCCTTGTGATGCAGGCCTCGTAGAAATCCAGCGTCTCGTGATATCCTCGCGCAACCTCGGCCGTCTCTTCTTCGGTGGGATCGTTGTCATCTCCACCCGCGCTGTCCTGGTCCGTGCCGTCTCGCAAGTTGGGGTTCTCCTTGTCAGTCATGTACTGCAGGACGATCTGGCAGTGAAGGTTCGGGTGCCCCACGCCACAACCATGCTGATTCACCCACTCGATGTACAACTCTGACCCCTGGTAGTACTTCATGGTCCCCAGGGTTGCACCTTCAACGGTGACGTCGTAGTTGTTGTCCCCATCTTTGCATGCAGGCTTGCAGTCGTCGCCAATCTGATAACCCGAAGCTGCATTGTTCTGGGAGTCGAACAGCCGGTTGGCATTCTGGACGTTGTTGCTCTGCTCTCGCAACTTGTTGTTCGATCCACGTGGATTGTTCAAGTACATGTCCGCATGGGAAGACCACACCGCTGCAAGCAGCAAGGTCAGAATTTGTCGAGAGTTTGCCCTGGTTGCCATGCTTGCTGTCGCGAGGCAAGGTAAACAGCACTTGGTTGGCTGCACAGGGGGTTCGCGTTCGGGGGATCGCACAATGCTTGAGCCGTGGCGTCCACCAGGTTGGAGGCTTCCAAGCAAAAGATGTCCCAACTTCGACACATCGTCATAGCCAGATTCATGCACATCCCCACAGATGAAATATCGCAGCCTTTGCACTGCCCTTTCCCCACTTCCCTGCCTTCCACTCGTCCGGCTGACGCATTCGACCTCTCGCATTTCGCCGATCGGGAACTTGCCTGGACAAAGGGCGGGGTGGCCTTCCAAGCTTTTGTTGCTAGCATGCAAGGAGCAGTCAGTCTGGTCAGGCCCGGTCTCGAGCTGAAACGGCAGAAATTAGCCGAGCACTTCACGGACTGCACTAATCAAAACTGCAACCGACGAACACAAGCGGCGCCACCACAGCCAGCAACAACAACCACGACGACGACAACGAAAACGATAATGATACCAGAGCAGGTGCAAAGCCATCATAATCGTCGTCAGTATGTGCACCAGAATCACGATCATCCTTCTTCTCTTCAGAATCATTCCCGACAATTCATCATCGGGAAGGATAACCGACACATCTTCGTCAAGCTCCTTAAATAACAACATATTACAACTGTAACAAAGACAATCGTAATGAGACTGATACGACAGCCTCCAGCGGTTGGCCATCGAGTGAAGAGTATCAGCTTCAAAGAGGCTCTTCTGCAAAGCTGCAAAATGTCTCGGAGCGGCTCATCCGGAAGTTCAGGAACAACAACCTGCGAGGATGTCGTCAACCGACATCTAACCACAGCATGGTGCCACAAGAGGCTACCGGCTACCATAGAGAAGCACTCTTATAGGTCCCCGAATGCCTGTTTAGTGATTAGTTTAGCCAAGCATACAAATTGTCAGGATGCGTCGGCTCGCCTCAGACACGCCACGACGCTTGGCCATGAAGCCCCGGAAGGGCAGTGGCACAGTGCCGTTACGCGTACCTGGGTCAAAATCACCAAGACAAAAGTTGCTGGAATACGGACATCTCGTTTTACACACTTTTTGTATTGTAGGGCGTGGGAAGACGAGCGAGTCCCCCAGATATTGCAAGCTAAATTGTATTGGACTATAAAGGTGTCAGGGTTCCTCGGCCAGTTTGTTGACACGCGCACGACCGTTTGGTAAGAGTCCCCCTCTCTCTCTCTCTCTCTCTCTCTCCGCTTCGCTTCTCTTCTCAGAGGTTGAGCTCCGGGCTGTTTTGCCCCGTGCGGTTAAGCTGGCAGGCGTCCGTCTGGCAGGGCAAAACACCCCCTCTCTCTCTCTCTCTCTCTCTCTCTCGCCAGGGTTAGGGTGAAGGGGTTTCCCCTCTCTCTCTCTCTCTCTCTCTCTCTCTCTCTGAATTCTCTCTAGCTTCGCTCCATTTACCAAAGCGCACAGATCGCACAGGTATGACAAACAGTTCTCACTGGGAAGCGTGCAAATACAGATCGCTCACGGAAGAACTTCCTGAAAACCACTAGTGAGTACAATTTGCAGGTTTGAAGGGGACCTTTATTCAACCAATTTAAATCTAAAGTCACCCATCAAGGCGAAAGGCGGCGGCGCTCCCAACGGCGGCTGCCTGCAGCTGGCATTTCCGGCGGTGGATGGGCAGAGGCCACAGACTCCTGGCCGGTAACTGCGACACCTTTACAGGTTTCTACAGGTATCCATAAGAACGCCCCCTACCCCCCCCTCCCTCATCCCCCAAAAATCCTTAGGATACACACACACACACATGTGTGCACAGAGACGCACATAACCTAAACCCTAAACCTGTGATGGATTCCAACAGGCCTCGGACTGCGAGCCCTCGTCCTCAGCGTCTTGTTGCACGTCCTGCACGCAAACGACATTCCAGCACTTTATTTAGAACCATAGAATGGGATAGGTAAATGATATATGATTATATGACGCAAAAGCTTGTATAACAGAATCCAACCTAAATGGAATATACCATCCCTTCCAAAGACTCGAATGCCAAGGCCTGCTCGCGTTCACGAGTAGCTGCCGGCTCGTCTGCGCTGCGCTCGCCCGCCTTGCTCATCTGTGAACGACTGCTCAAGCATAGTTTCGTAAATCAAAGATTTGCACTTTTTTTGAAACAAAACCATAACCGTTTGAACCCCAGCCTTTCCTTGCGAGCCGATGTGGCTGTGATATCATGGACTAGCCTTGCTTGGAAGCAAAACCCAGGGGCTGAATCAAGCACTTTCGCTTGCCTCCCTCTCCCCTTCGATGTTCGAAGCTCCAGCTGCCGCGCTAGATGCGGCACCAGCCGCACGCAGAAGGTGCTGCTGAAGCCTGAGGAGATTGACGTACCACATCAGCCCAAGCCTGTCAGCAACCCCTGAAGCACCGTCAACAGGCTGTGCTGGAGCCAAACACAAACTCATCTGACAGAACACCGACATCTCCACGACACTATTTGATTGATTTAGGGTTTAGCACACATGCGAAGAGGCATCCGATGTACTGGAGCAAGGTTGCGGAGCGCAGTCCTCAGCTTGAAACCTTTCTATAGCAGGAGAGCTGCTGATTTCGGAGAAGTCTTTCTACCTCAGTTTCTGGGCATGGGAGGCTCACAGACTCAAGCACAAGCAACCGATGCACGCGAACATCGATGCAAGCGCGTCTGATAGCTGTACTCGGCAGAATCGGCAGGCTGAGTGCTTCTTTTGGCATCTTGAGCTGAAGCATAACAAACGGAAGAAATGCAAGCTGATTCTATGCTGCTGTAATCCAGGAAAGCGACACGAACAAAAAAACGCAGGAAATCAAACATAGCATTCACCAGTAGCAATTTCGCGAGGCCCGCTCCCTCTCTCGTTTTTTTTGAAATGTCTGTCGTGCAATTTGCTCCGTTCTGAGATCTTTCCTCTCTCAGACTACTTTCCAGCGGTTTGGTCTCTGTTCTACAGTGTGTCCCGCTCGTCTTCGTCTTCGAGCAGAAGCGAACCATTCGAAAGAGACTGACTGGATAAGTTCGCACTCCGTCTGCAAGCGACACGAGCGTTTGTTCCACCGCTCGGAAGGGACCCTGGCAGCCGACAGAGCGGGGCAAAGCGCTCAAATGGGCCTAGTGACTGGAGAAGTTGAGAAAATGAACAAACCGGTTCATACAGTAGGGAAACGCCAGCAAGACCCTCGAAAGGGATGAAGGATGTGCGAAAGGGAACTGTCAAATTGAGACGCTGGACGGGATAGAGAACGAGCAGGAGGAGCGAATCCCAGTCTGCGATTTGCCGAAGACTCATGAGCTCAACCCCTTCTGCCTAGCGACCGCTTTTTTACGTATGCGTTCCTCCGATGCCCGCTGCTGCGCTCGGAGTCGCAAAGTCTGCCACCTGGGTGTAATACACGAGCCGTAATGACTAGAATAAGGTTTTGGTGAACGTTTTGGTAGAATGACACTTAGGAACCCTAGAGGGCCGAGATTCTGCATTAGGCAGGTGGGGAGAACCGAGTTTCAAACTGGAACCCCTGAACACGACCCCAATCTGCAACCACCTGCAGCCGTAAACGCCAACACCCCCGGGCACAAACACTCTTCGGACCGGTGTTGGTCCTTCGAAATTTCGGTGGCAACCTCTTCAGAATAAAGGTAGGGTTGCATTTGCCTCCTGCATTGCTAGGATGCGCACGCTAGGCAGGGAAGGAGATTGAAATAGGATACGTGCTCTTATGCTCAGCAAGGTTTCGTTCCCTCCAGCATAGCTGACTGGGTCGCTATCAGTAGGGTTTAGGACGTTAGGGTCTCGGACGCCTACCAGCAAAAGCAACACTATCCGGGCCTTTTTCCACGAATCCTGCATTTGCACCCCTACCCTCATATTTGATTCTGGTACGTACAAGCTCTGCCTTACCTTTCGCATCCGGTCTGCAGCGACTCTACCGGGAAAGACTTGCATCCGCGCTTACCCTCTTTTGTATCGGGACTTGGGCAATCGCCTGAACGTCTGTGCGTACCCTCAACCAAAGCCCTAAGCCCCGAACCTGAAACCCACCAACTCTAGGCCTTGCATCCCGAAACCCCCCAAACCCTGAACCCTAAGACCCGACAGCTCTGAATGAAGTCTCCAAGAGACTTGAGTGCTGGCGGAGGCCCATCAAAGACAAAGACCTGAGCCGTTGGTCGGTTGATTAATTACATAATATTCTGTCATGCAGATTTTGTGAAAAAGGATTTTTGTCCAAGGTCGTATATTCTGCCAAATAGTATAGTATGTCGGAGCCGCGAGCTTCTTTTTGCCATGTTTCGAAAAGCCTTAAGTGTCCTACCAGATTCTATCATGTTCAACCAAGTCGAGCTCCATCCAAGGCGCTGGTCTGATTTTGAGGTACAGCCTCGGCGTGGCTTGAGAATGGGACTGGGGACACTGAACACGTCTGTGGGGAGCTTTCTCCCTCTGGAAGTTCAGGGTTTAGGAGTGGCTGAGGTGTCATTCAGGCTCTTGGCTGTTAATTCTGCTCTGGCTGGAACTGGAACAGCTGGACAGGCGAACGACACTCACGCCGAAGCACAGCTTGCAGATTCGCCGGAAGAAGCCAATCATGTGCGCACCCTTCAGCATGTCGCCTGCACGGCAGTGCCGAGCCATGCGTGATGTGGGCGAACGCTTTGGCGAAGCGGAGCAAGCCCGCCTTTCTCGTCTCTCATGGCCTTCCTGCATGAGATAACCCGAACAAGGGCCAGGGTCGGAACAGAAAAAATCGCGCAATCGAAGCCAAGCTGCAGGAAGTGGTACATCCAGATGCTCGCCTCGGCTACTATTGCAGTGCATGAAGGAGCTTAAAGCCGCAAACGGTTGCCACGCCCGGCCGTATCATAAGCTGGGGCACATCTACGGCGACCACCTTGTTCTCGAGGGCCTCATTCTTTTGAAATCTTGCAGCTTCAGCACTCGGAAGATCTATGCCCAAAGACGGACGCAGCACACAGCACAATCCTTGGAAAGCCCGGTCACTTGAAGAATCTGTGAAGCCACAGTTGCAGTCATTACGGCAACTACCAGCCATGCCCATCCCTGTGCGCCCTGAAACCTTGAAGCCCTGGGGCAGTAAAGTTCACGCGCTGCCCTGCCGGAGATGCGAGGTCCCAAAGGCCTCCCCGGAGCTCGGGGCTCTCTTTGCTTTGGCTCTACAGTTCCGGGCAAATAACGGCTCCATTGGTCACAAGACAGTTTAAGGCCTGGGGTTTATGGGGTCTAGGAAGTTCGGAGTTTAGGGTGTAGACTTCAAGATCATGGGTTGCCAGTACGAACTCGGAACACCTGGCTTGTTGAGCCTTTGCCTGCGAAAACTGCTTACCCGGAGTTGTTCCAAACGGCCGAAGGGTGCTGCCCCAGCACCACTACTGGGGTAGCTCAGTGCTACGACACACGACGAAGATGGAATTTAGCAACAAACGAAACGCCGTCGTTACTCCAAATTTGCTGGTTTGAGCACGAGATATTATGTCTAGCGGTTGAACTTACTAGGGTTCGTCTCCCTTGTCCACGTTTCCGATGCAGAAAACGTGGAACCCTGGTCTTGTCCCACAGTATCCTGCCATCGGGTTTCGATAAACCACGACAAAGTCACGGCGAAACGGCAGAACTTCCCAGTTTACTGCTGAGGAAAAGCCTTGGCCACAGCCATCGACAAACAAAACAACTGACGCCAGCCTTGAACTCCCATGGCTCACCAGCGATGTCATCTACAGTTCAGGAACGGATCATGGAGAAGACTCAAGCTTGGAGTTGTTGGGAGCACACACGACCCTTCAACTTCAACTTATTTCTCATCCACGGTCGTCGTCTTCGCTGTACCAGCAATAGCGGCAAAGGGAAGGTCTGATTTAGACGAAGTCAAGTCCCTGTACCATCAAACCATTCCACACCCGCAGTATTTGTTACTTCGTTGCTCAAGAGCGGCCATTTCGTGATGCTGACTGTGATGGCTCATATCTTCCATGTGGCCTGCGTAGCCATTGCTGACAAGCCGAGAGACGGCGCGGCATCACGATAGATGGCACACTCTGCACAGCCAGGTTCCAAACATGCAATCCCATGCCCAGTCCAGTGGTCTGACCGATCGAGAGGACCAAACTCTCCACTCAACGATTGTCGCCAACATAGGCATGTTAAGAAAAACTGGCAGCGAATTCCGCAAGCTTAAGCAAAGCTTCAAAGCACGTCGAAGATGCAGACGCAAGGAGCTCCACGAAACAGCCCTGGAATCTTAAGAAGAAGTTTGCGCATGAAGTGTGGATGCAAGAGCTGCCTTGCCTCTCTCGCTTGCTGCCTCGGACGAGGGCACCTCTCCTCCCCTCACTTCTGTCTCACTCTCAATGACCCAAAACCTCGTGCACTTAAGCCATGCAAAGGGGTGAGTAGCTTTACGTTTTATCTGTCTTGCTGCAGGATTTCGGGTTTCTTTAGGGTTCGTCGATTCAGAGAGCTGAATGCCAGAACATCCTAATTCGTAGGGAACTTCGTGGCAAAACCCTGTTGGACCCAGTCTTGAGGCAGCAGCCGTAGCAAAGCCTTGTTTGCTACTGGACGCAAGTCTAGCCAGACCCCAAACTCGAAACCATGAACCCTTTTCCTTCAAGACATAACCTCCGCATAGGACTGCGTCAGACCCTTCTCGGTTGCGCTGATGAGAGTACTCTATGTGAATATAACGGCCCCGAAAATAAGGCTTCTGTACCGAGCTCTACTATGCTTCGTCTTGGATATCTGGGGTTGGGGCGCCGCAGAAGCGCAGCACTCGGACAAATCCTGGCTCCTCGCGGGCTGCAAGGGTTCTGGGTGGTTGTTCAATTCCTTGCATGTTGCGGGGGTGTGGGGCTTCCGGAGCTTCAGAGTAAAGGATTTCGACTCACACACCCGCAGTAAGGATTTAAAGTGGAAGGGTCCTGCAAAGCTTCAGGGTTAGGTACATTTTCACGGGCACATCCCGGGGCTTAGTTTGCACTTCAGGGTTCAAGGTCTCGGGTTTGCTTGCCAACTCATGACTCAGTCCATCCAGCCAGTAAGATGAGGGCTTAGGCTTTGCGGCCCTACCTGGGCATCCTCTTGGATGGATCCATTTCGGAGTCTTCGTTGCTGGTCCTCTTTTCTGTGTAATTTCGAAGAGAAAGCCCGAATGTATCTCGGACAAAGAAACTTCAACAAGTCTCCGGCACCAGCCATCCGGGAAGATCGTGGCACCTCAAGACTCATGGACTCTACTGGCAACGCAACCAACGGGAGTTTAGGCTGCTCATCCTCGATCTCGCATATTACTAGTATTCCTATTAGCACTCTTACTACGATTATGATCATTATTGTTACCATAATTAATGTTATAACTATAACCACTACTACTAGCCACCCCCCCCCCTCCCAACTACACTTGTTCCATCCGGGCTGGGCAGCGGTAGCTGCTAGGCGCCTTAACTGCGACAGTTGCAGAAGATGCACGGGCTCAGGCTCCCTATCTGTGACAGCTGCAGAAGTTGCAGAGTCTCAGTTTGCTTAACTGTCACAGCCGGTGAAGTTGCAGGAGCTCAGGCCCCAAAATTGCGACAGCAGCTAGAGTTGCAAGCTCGACGGGGAAGAAACTGCTGAACTGCAGGTGGTCGGATAGTACGAACACGCTGTAAATACCGTGCACAACGTAGGTGCTGCCAAGAAGGGTTTAACATTCCTAAAACCTGAAGCGCAACATCTTCTAAGCATCAAAAACAAAGATGCCAGCTGTACGTGGGAGGGGCTCGCCAACACCCCTACCGCCCAACTTCGGCGTAGGAGGGTCTGTTTTTGAAGTGGTGTGTGTGGTGCGTGTGCGTGCTTGAGCATGGAAGTATTGTTCAGGTTGTCCGCAAAACAGTGTCGTGATCATCCCCGAAGAAGCTTTCCCCACCCCATTTCGAGTTTTTTGCAAACAGTTCGAAACAGCAAAGTCTAATACGCATAGTAGAGATTAGGGGCTCAGAATATGTAACAAAGTCTGACATCACGAAAGTACCGTAAATACCGAGGTAAACGGCTCTTGTGGTGATACTTTTACGTGTGTTCACGTAACACTGTCGTCATCATCCCCCCCCCACCCCCCCACCCACCCCCAGAAGCAAGTCCAAAATCAAGAGCCCGAGTTGCAAACTCGACAAGTCGTTTCTGAGGCCTCTTATGATGATCGCACATGACGAAAGTGCCGTAAATACCGAGTAAAACGGATGTTGTCTTAACATGGTTAAAAGCAAGTGTAGTTGGTAGGGGGCTGGGGTGCCTACCACTACCACTACCACTACCACTACTACTACTACTACTACTACTACTACTACTACTACTACTACTACTACTACTACTACTACTACGACTACCACTACTACTACTACTACCACTACTACTACTACTACTACTACTACTACTACTACTACTACTACTACTACTACTACTACTACTACTACTACTACTACTACTACTACTATACTGCTACTACTACTACTACTACTACTACTACTACTACTACTACGACTATTGATATCGCGATGACGCGTGCCTTCGGCGTGTGCGCCTAGGCTGCCATCTCCTGACAAGTACCTGGCCGGCGGCATCACTCCAGTTGACGCACAGATAGGAGTCTTCAACCCGGAAGGCAAGGTCGCAGAAGGACTTCTAATTGTTATGGTTATTTTAGTTTTAGTGTTGTTGTTATTGTAAATGTATAGTTGCTATTTGCTATTATTAACCGTATAATTATCAGTCTCATTAGCAGTGTTGTCTTTCTATTATATTATATCTTCTTGGAAATCTTGCGAGGACGGCAGGATGGCCGTCCACTGCCGGCTTGCATCGCCCGGTTCGTTGTCGACGTGCAAACCTCAATAAACTACCAGACCAAGGGACGGTGTGGATATAGAAATATGTATATGTGGAGTATATGCGTATACGATGTGTGTATATACATAAGAGTATGTGTGTATATATATATATATATATATATGTGTGTGTGTGTGTGTTTGTGTATGTATATCTGTATGGTATATCTACATAGACACATAACATATATCGAAGAAATCGTATGTGTGTATGTATGTATATATATATATATATGCGTGTGTGTGCGTGTACATATAGTGAGTTTATTGCCTGCCGTGTCTTCCATGCGCTTGTCACTTGTCCTCTGCCGACTCTATGGAACTCCATGTACATGAAGCCAGCATGTCGAGCGCTCGGCGGTGCAAGCCACCTGGCCTCACTTGAAGCCAGGAAAAAGTGCACATTCTGCATGTTGGGTGATCAGCTTGCAAAGAGCTGCTGACCAAAAATGCGTGTCTCAGCGCTCCGCTATCGAAAAGGACATGAACCGGTACTAAGCCACTAAGACCCCCGCGCATAGGCAACGAGCTGCAGTGGCTCCCCATGTGTCTCGGGCATGCGCACCGCGCGATGCAGGCCTCGACAGTGAAAGAACTTTGCAGGAGGCTTCGCGCTTCGGGGCCCTTAATCCTGAACCCCAAGGCACGTTTCAACAAGAGTCCCATACCTTACACCAGCTTTTTGTGACTGCTGCTCTGCCTGAGCTCCTTTCACAGGCCGCGCTTCGTCTTTACCGTTAAGGCCTGCGAGGTCTGCCCTCCAGCCTAACTCCTATAGTCAAGCTTCTAGTCGTCGTCTGATTCCTAGATGGACAGCTCAGGCATGGATTCATCCTGCTCCTGAGAAGCCGCTGATATCAGCACAGAGCATGCATGCTACCATCTGAATTCTCTAGCTCATCTGCTCAACTGAAGCCTGGCCTTCTACCCAGGATCCATCCCAGTCAACTAATCTGTGGCAACCCCTCTCGGCCACGTTTGCCGGCTTCAGACATCTTGAAACTAGCATTTAGGGGGCGCGACGCGAATTAAGGCACTTAGCCAGCAAAGTACCGACAAACTCAGCGTCCTTTCCTGCCCTCTCAGCTTTGTCAAACCTTTCAGCTGTTCGGGAAAGAACGGTAAGAGCTAGCAGTAGCACCGACAATAGGAACAGCATGATCTCGGAGAGGCATGAGAAGGATTCGCTTGCCGAACTTGCACAGAGAAAAAGAAATCTCAGAAAAGGACACGCCAGGTGAGCGCCTGTCACTCCGCCAATGTTGCAGCAGATAGCAGGCCGCCCCGTGGGTGTTCAAAGTTGAGCTAATTAGGAGCTTCCGAAAAGGATAGGCCCCCATATCCAAATTCCCGAAAAGGGAACCCCTCGTTTCTGAAACTCCCACTTGAGCCTCAAAGGCAGGTCCCCGGCGGGGCTATCGGAGGCCTTGAGTTGCCTCTTCGGCATTCAAAAATACCCCAAACCCGACCTCAGGAGTCAACTCCCAAAGCCCCCCGAAAGCCTCACGCAATGAGGACATTGCCTTCTTTATGGCCTTGCTTCATGGGACCGGGCATGCTACCATGAGCAGCCAGCACTCTCCTCTGGAACTATTTCTTGCAGTCGCAAGATGAACGGAAGAATAGGTGCAGGGTATTTTCCAGTGTCAGGACGTATCGGGTTTTTGGACTCTCGCAGCTGGGACAGCCACAGGAAGAGGAGAAGACAAAGTCCATGCTGGGTCTGCTTGAGCGGCCCACCGCCATGAAGAAACCAGACTGAGAAAGATTTGTACCTCGGTCGAGGTATCCTTTCTTTGAAAATTTTCGTGCAGAATCATGTCGAGGTGCC